TAGTCAGCTGTTGCAACGATGTGATGAACAAAATTGCTTCTCATACCGTTTCTGAAACATTTCTTTACGAAAGCCTCAATTCTGAACTGCCTACCAAAGTGGAGAGATTTTACATAAATTACCGATCTCACTTGAAGGTGCTATTGGCGACAATTTCGGCAACGTAGTTCTTGCCTGAGCCAGTAAATCCGTGAAATGACATCGCTAAAGGCTTCTTCGGTTTTTCGTTGGTCCAATGTGCACGAATCGCGTTCTCTACAGTATCGAGAACCAAATGTTGACCATAAACAAGTTTATAGAGATCCTGATGAAGTTCTAAAAAATTTCCGACATGTAATTTTGAGCAAAGCAGGAGTTGAATATGCACATCCTTGTTTGAGGGAAGTTGGAAATAATAGAAAAGCACCAACTCACTGTCAAATCGAGGATTCACATACGGTTTATCGCAACATTCAAACAGTTTGCATTTAATCTGATGCTGAAATTTCCATAATGCTCCTCCACCAAACATAACCGCAGCTCCTTTAATATAGATCACCGCAAGAACGCAAATACTAAGAATTTGAACACTACCTGTTATTAAGGAGATCGGTTCAGCTACCAGCAGGTCTAGGAGCAGAAAAAGCAGGTACAATATTCGCATCGAATTTGCTTAAAAAAAACTGTGAAGAAGAAAAATCAAAAAAAGAGCACAGGAACAAGTAACTAAGGTCAAAATTCCTCAATGATAAGAATTGAAACATTTGACGGGAAAATTTATTGTATGAAAATAAGCGCGAGTTGATGAGAACCACGTATACTGAGTAACATGTGAATGTGGCGTAGCTTAGATGTGAACAGCGTGTAAGCGTATATTCAATGATACATAAAGCAATGATGAAAAAATGAAAAGGGAAGTGGAGAGATCTTGTTGGCTAGTACCCGATAAAAACTGTTTAGTCGTCAGCAAGAGCATGAGCAACTCGTAATTGTGATAAAGCTCTAGCCATGGTAGATCGCTTATCAGCTTCTCGGTCCCACTCCCAAAGCGTGAAGGATTTTTGTCGACTTTCAATATCGAACACGCCATTATCTTAAGCGATTAGGATTAAAATAGTGATTAGCACACGAAAGCCAGCCCACCTCTCTTTTTGAGTATACAAAGCTCATAATTCGGAGGCAGATCAAGTTTCATTCCCTCAAGTCCATGTCCACGAAAAGCAGCTCGTTTCTTTCCATTAGAATCCTCATGAATAGTGAAATATCTACAGAAGTCACAGATGATCAGATGATTAGAGAGCAGGAATAAAGACAAAAGAGAGAAGAAAGACAAACCCGGAAACTTGTGCTGGACCATTGTATTCAATTTTGCATGGTAAAGAATGAATCTGCATTTGATCAGATGAATTTCCAGCTTGTTTCGAAACCACACAAACAGGATTGACCATATTTTATAGGTATGGTCTAATCTAAGGAGGGGAGTAAGAGACGATATAGTTTTTGGCAAGTAGAAGAGG